ACACACACACACACACACACACACACACACACACACACACACACACACACACAGACAGACAGACACACACACAGACAGACAGACAGTGGCGTACCGTCCTGAAACTCGGTCGGGTAGTACTCGGTGGTGTCGGCGGTGGTGTCGATGTCCGTCGGCTTCTTGCCGGCCATCTGGTGATGGTGGTGATGATGATGGAAAGGGGGAGCACATGGGACGTGTTAGGACCATGCAGCATACAGCCACACGTGAGGCGAACAGTAAGCACAGAACAGAGCACAGCAGCAAGAGCAACAACAGCATGAAGAACAAACAAACATCAACGAGGCAACACAGTTGTGGCGCACTGCTCACCGATGCAGAGTTGTCTGCCTCCCAATCCTGGTACTCAGCAAACCTGTGCACAGTCCAAACAAAGCAGCAGTGTGTGTGTGTGTGTGTGTGAGTGTGTGTGAGTGTGAGTGAGTGTGAGTGAGTCAGGTGTGGCCAGACACGAGGCTTGCATGCGCTCGTCACCACCCACAACCATCATCAGTACCACCACCACCACCACCACCACCACCGCCAACATCTCGATCATCACCTGGTGCGGTGGGGGTTGAGCTTTTCCTTGAGCTCCGGGGTGCAGAGTTCAAACACATCGAGTGACATGGGGAACTTCACATCCTGTTGGGGGGGGGGGTGGTGATGTCGTGATGGAAAAGGAGATGTTAAGGGAAGGGCAAGATGTAGTGGCGATATCGTACAAGCGTATAAAGGTCAAGGTTCACACACACACACACACACACACAGACGAACAGAGACAAACACACACACACACACACCTTTCTGATTTTGCAGTTTTCCTGGGTGGAGCGCTTGAAGTAGAAGCGGACAAAGTTGATGGCGAGAAACGCCGGCAGCCGCGAAACCAGACTCTAAACATGGTACGTGCGCGTGTGCAAGCGTGTACGTGTGTGTACATGTGTGTACGTGTGTGTACGTGTGTGCGATGAGATGAGTCGTAAGGTGAGAGTGAGATCAGCATTCGACACAAAGGCAAAGGAAGGCAATAACCTGGCAAACAAACGCATTGAGCAGACAAACAAATCACATCAACAAACCACCAGCAAGCGGCAACGATGCCTGATCCACCACCACGCCTACCAACCGACCACCAACACATCACTACCACGCCTACCAACCGAACAACAACCCACGACCACCACGCCTACCAGCCGAACAACAACACACCACCACGCCCACACCTGCTTCTTGTAGATTGCATCACGGCCGAGCGTGGGCGATGCTTTGGTGATCTCCTCCTCAAGCGCCCGCTTCAGACCAGCCATCACAAACCCAATGTCTGCACAAATGTTGGCCGTTCGTGGTGCGTGTTTGGGTAGAGCGAACGTGAATGGTGGTGATGGTGGTGAAAGAAGTGATCTTTGAAGATGGAAACATACATGCGAGACACACATCACTCAACACATACACACACACATACACAACCTAACACACACAGCCAAAAGATATAGACAGACACATTCAGATAAAAAGATACACACACACACACGCACACACCCACACACACGCACACCCACCCACACACACACACACCACCCAACATTCACGCCGCACCCTTGTCGATGTGGCAGGAGAGCTGGAGGTTTGAGGCGCGGGAGACAACGGCTTCCTCCTGTCGCACCGCAATGTCAACGGCCGAATCACAAAGAGGGGATTGGGGGGGGGGGGAGTTGGTGGTGGTGTCAGTCACAGGAACAGGCAGGGTCGAGTAGGCAGGGTAGAACATAGTGCTGCGCACACACACCGATACACACACCGATACACACGCACACACCCACGCACACACGCACCCCCACCCATACCGACACACACACACACACACGCACACACACACAAAATCCAAGCATCTGCACCTCTGGGGCCTCTGTGCATGCGAGGGTGTCTGTGCGATCGATGCCAAAGTACTGGCTGATGGGTCCGCCACGCGGAAACGCCGTCGACGCGCCGTCACCGCCGCGCAGCGACGTGTCCAGCGCCCGCGACAACACACCCCAAAACTCATTCGCATCCTGCACCCGAGGGGAGGGGGGGGGGGTTTGAGTTGGTTGCAGTGTGTTGTTGTTGTTGTTGTTGTTGTTGTTGTTGTTGTTGTTGTTGTTGTTGTTGTTGTTGTTGTTGTTGTGTGACGTGCAATGAGAAGGTGTTAACATGGATGAAGACTTGCGGACAACCAGAGCGCGAGTGTGAGCGAGTTTGTGCATTTGCATGCATGAGTGCGCGCGTGCACCTGCTGTGCCGGGTGCCCCTGTTCCGTCTGCGCAAATTGCGGGTTGACCTGGCGAAGCGTCTGGTGGCGGCCAAACACACACACACACACACACACACATGGACACATGGACAAAGAGTGAGCGCACACGTCAACGGGCTGTCGTTGGTGACAGAGTGGCATTGAGATTCAACAGCATTTCGTGACAATTGCAACAACCAGCACCACCAGCACCACCACCAAACACTCTCATCACACTTTCATCAATCCACCACCACCACCACCCCTGTCCTACCATGAGGAACCCCATGAGGGCCATGTCGAGGCCCGAGCGGTCCGTGTCGTTGTCCATGATCGTGTACATGCGCTGCAAATGCTGCACCATCGCCGCGCGGCCATCCCCGCCAGCAACACTCCCGCTACACACACACACACACACACATGTGCAGAGGGGGAGGGGATGAGCACATTCATTCAAACACACACACACACACACAGACACACACATGTGTGTTGTCACCTCTTGATGAGATCACGGAGGCTGTCTGCCGTCTTCAGGCACTGGTGGTCCAGTCAATGCACCCCGATGGTGATGATGAAGGATGGTGTTGTGTAGATGAGAGATGTGTACATAAGTGTGCGTGTGTGCGTGCGTGTTTTCAGGTTGGTGTTCGGGTCGTTGGTGTGAGCAGCGGTACGAATCGTTGCATGGCGAAAACGAAGCCACCAGTCACCCGACATGAGCTCGCCCTTGCACGTTCGCGCAAAAAACGCACACAGTTGCGTAACAACAGTGCACACGCATGTGTGTTTGCGCTATGCCCTTCCACCCTCCATGCCTGCATTGCTTGCGTGCACGTACCTGGAGGGTGGCGTTCATGTAGCACGTGTTGCCCAGGTTGGCGAGACCAGCGGGGTAGTTGTTCTGCAATGACACGTGTCGGCATGGTGATTTGATGATTTGATGACGTGGTGGTGCGGCGGCGATGATGAGGAGCGTGCAGACGCAACGAGCGTGCCGATTGGTGGGGAGAGGAGACACCAACACGAGGTGAGCGAAAGACGCACATGCACACGTGCGAACCAGAGTACAGGCACACACGTGTACATACACGGACACACACACACACACGTGTACATACACCGACACACAGACACGCACACACACAACAATACACACATACACCGACACACAGACACGCACTCACGTGTACATACACGGATACACAATACGCACCACGACGGCGGTGTCTGGGAGTTCGTCTGCAAACTGGATGTCGTCCGGCTCATCAGGCAGCTCCCCAGCGGTACCCTGTCATGCACATACACACGGCACACGTGAGGGAAAGACGGCAGATGTGTGGTGGCGACAGTTAACAAAACGTAATGAGGGACGTCGATCACGCCGCGACTGTGCCCGAGGACAACAGCGAGTTGGACAGCAAGCCATGTGACACGTGCGCACCATGAGCAGGACGGAGGCCTTGTTCTTGATGGGAAACTTCTCCCACGTATCCTGGCAAGGCAATCACAGTGAAACGTGGGACACAGGTGCGTGTGTGTGTGTGTGTGTGTGTGCGAGTGAGAGAGAGAGAGAGAGACGGTTGGCCACACAGTCAGGAAAAGGCCGACGCGGGAAGAAGGAGAAGACAAGTAAAGCCCACAAACAACATTCCCACAAACGACACACACACACACACACACATACACACACCTTAAGGGTCATGCCCTTGCACATGATCTTCTGGCCCTCTGGTGGCACGCCCGTGAGGGAGAAGAGCTGCGCACGGAAAGCATCGGGGTCCTGTGTGTGTGTTTGGAATTGTGTGTGCATGCGTGTGTGTGTGTGTTTGTGTTTGTGCGTGTGTGTTATGTGCGCATCTGTGAGGTTGTTGACATGCAAGAAGCATAGCGGTGGAAACAAACCTCAGGCAACACCCAAAAAACAAACACACTCAAACAACACAAGCAAAATGTACTCACACCACCAGCGCATGCACCCACCTCGTCGGTGTCGACTTCGACGTCCTTGAACACCTCCTTGCCCCACTTGATCTTAACTGTCGTTGTTTGAGCCAGGCATCACACCACGCGTGCAGCCATGCATCATGTCAATGCAGTGTCGATCCGAGTTTGCCTTTTCACACGCACGCAAACACGCACACACGCACAGACGCACAAACACACATGTACACACGCAAACACATGCACACACACACATGCACGCCTTTCTTTGGCGCTCTTTTGTAGCGCTGGCATGCACGTACCAGTGAACTTTCCCATGGCGATGGTGCTTTTGCCGGTGGCTCAGACAGTGTGTGAAGACGTGTGTGTGTGTGAATGGAGTGGATGGTGGTTGCTTCGACTCGCTCTCTGCCGTTTCTTTCTTCTTGCGCTGCTGTCGTCAGAAAAAAGTGCAAGGGTTGGTCGACAGGCGACACATGAAGATAAACAATCAAGTTGAAAAATCAGCATGTAGAAAATTATGGTGAAATATAAGCCAATATTCGCCCAAATACAAGTTGAACGTGAAATTTACCTCAATTTTCCTTGTTTGCGACAGCACAAAACGGACCTGACACAGGTGGGTGGCAAGTTTGGTGGATGATGAGTGGGCTGAGAGGGTGGGGGGTGGGTGAAGTAAGGGGAAGCATGTCAATGTGCATGCTTTCCTCCTCCTACTTTTGGCAGAGCTGTCACATTTCATCTGAGACACACACACACACACACACACACACACACACACACACACACACACACACACACACACACACACACACACACACACACACACACACACATAGACGCGCACCGCACCAACCACCTCACAATTTTTACACTGTCGTTTGTACTTCTTGTCTTCTTCCTTGCCACATTCTTGTTTCGTTTTGGCTTGTGTTGCTGCTGCTGCAAGGTAAAGGGAAGCACAGCTGTCATCCATCACCGCCCATCACCACCACAGCCACCATGTCTGGGGACGAGAGGTTTTGGCCGGAGAACACCATCATCAAGGTGTGTACATGCATGTGAATGTGTGTGTGTATGTGATGGTTGGGGGGAAAGTTGCACGCGTGTGTACCTGAGTGTGCGTGCCTGGTTTGAAGGCGTGTTCAACAATGGGGCTGGCCTCCTTGTTTTGGTGTTTGGTTTCCACTCACTCTTCCATCCACTCACTCTTCCACCCACGCATCCACCCACTCTCCTTATCCATCCACCCACACTTGCGCTTCCACGTTCTAGGCGGTGGTGTTAGACTTTGACAAGACCATCACAATCAAGCACACGCGTGGCGTGGTGTTTCAGCCGTCGCAGCTCGAGCCCGAGAACATTGAGCGAAACTTTGTTGATATCGCCTTCTTTAGGCGGATGGTGGAGGGCGTTCGCAAGGCCAACCCCTCGGTCAAGCTGTGCATCGCCACTTTTGCAGACGAGGAAGAGGAGGCCCTCTGCTCAGGTGTGTGCGTGTGAGTTTGCGTGAGTGAGTTTGCGTGAGTGAGTTTGCGTGAGGTGAGTTTGCGTGAGTGAGGTTGCGTGAGGTGAGTTTGCGTGAGTGAGGTTGCGTGAGTGAGTGAGTGAGTGAGTGAGTGAGTGAGTGAGTGAGTGTGTGTGTACTAGTGTAGGAGGCAAAGGGCAGGGAGGAACGCGTGCTGGCCAAGGAACGTGTGGTCTGTGATGGGCGTTGCACTATGGGCTTTGCCGTTGTGCTGACGCGTTCCCTGCTCGTTCGACTGCAGGGCGTGCCCTCGTGCGCAAGTACCTGGAGATTGCGTTTCCCAACAAGAGCACAGAATACTTCCCAGGTGCGTGCGTGTGTGCGCACGTGTGTGTGTGTGTGAATGTGTGTGTGAATACGTGAATTTGTGTGTGAATGTACGTGTGTGTGTGTGTGTGCGTGTGTGTGCGTACGTGTGCATGCTTGCCCTCACCCTACAATGACGCCCTGCCAATGCTCACCATCTTCTCATCCACTCCACTGCCCTTCATCTCTCTCCATGACACACCGCGCCCACCGCTGCCACGGCGACCTCCCTCCCCTCCCCCCTCCTGTGCCCCCCTCCCCTCTCACTGCTTCATTCTGTGCAATTCCACCACCTCAGATGAGCACATCCAAGCGTTCAACCCGGAGAACCAGGACATGGATGCCCGCAAGGTCGGCAAGTCGGTCCACCTTGAAACGCTCAGGAAGACACTCAAGGTGCGCACGCCAGTGGTGACGGATGGTAGGGTGATGGCAGTAAATTGGGGGGGGGGTGTGGGTTGTGGCGAGAAGGGGGTGAGGTTGGTGGTGGATGTGAAGCTGGTGATTGGTCATTGATAGAAGATGGTGGTTGATGGTTGATTGCAGGTGATGGTGGTGATCACGCAGGAGGTGCTGTGTGATGAGTGGCGTCTCTCGTCATCTGCTTTTGCCCCGTCCTTTGTGCACCTTTCCAGCCCTTGCTGACGCTTTGTGTGTGTGTGTGTGTGTGTGTGTGTGTGTGTGTGTGTGTGTGTGTGTGTGTGACA